GGTATGCATATCCGAAAGGCCACCAAGTATCTGAAGGCTGTCATGTTAAAGAACAATGTATGCCATGCCTGCATTACAATGGTGGAGTTGGTATGTGTGCCCAGGCCAAACAGTGGGGCTAGACGCAGGGTTGGTGGCCCCAAAACAGTGCTGAAATTTTGCTACACATGCTTAAAAATGTAGAGTAATGCTGAACTTCAGGGTTCAGATGTAGATTCTCTGGTCATTGGATTTACCCAGGTGAACAAAGCACCCAAGATGCACCACTGTACCGATTAACCCATCCATGAGCTCCCCCTGCCATATTGAGATGATCCTTACTGCAAAGGAACAAACTGTTCCTAAACCAGAGGAGGAAGTTGCACAGAAGAAAAAGATATCCCAGAAGAAACTGGAGAAACAAAAATTTATGGCATGGGAGTAAATTAAGCAAAGATAAATGCAAATACATGTTTTTTACAAAAGCGGTAACTTTCTAGCCAAAGGAGGTTGGCTACATTTTATATAAAAACTAGTTAAAAAAAAAAAAAGTCATTGCTAGAAGACAAAATTTAAAAGACTTATAAAGTTCCACCAAAAGATTCCTAGAGTATGGGACCACAGAGCAAAGTGATCAATGATGTAGAGTGTGCCTAAGGAGAGTCACCCGGAGAGAAAATATTCTCTCAGGCTTTCACAGAGAGCAAATTGGTCAAGCAATGGCTGTGACTCATCCACATGGCTGACACTCACAAAGGATCTACAAACTGTAGTACAGGGCTTCAGGGTAAATCCTGAGATTTGACTGACCTTGTCAGATTCTAAAACTACATTTCTTGTTATGTAGGTCTTGCTTTATCTTGGTCTTAACCATCCAGCAAAAAAGTATAAAAACGAAGTATAAAAAGCCATATTAATATTCTGAGCTGTAAAAGGCTCAAGTCAACAACTTCTGACATTGCCAGTCCTACAGATAACCCACTACTATAATGGACTACTGGACTATATTGGAATATTTTGCTGAATTCACACACCTATAATATTTAAATGACAATGGAATACCTTTCTCTAACAAAACTAAAAGGGATATATATGAACAACCATTTTGTATCTGTATATTCAAAATAACAGATACACAGTTGTATTCCCTTAATTCAATGAATAGATTTGTTCTAATAAGTGTTTGTAGACAGTATACTATGTCTGCATCTTGTATAATAAATAATCACTAAGAGAACAATATGCAATGTATTATTGAAACTGCTATTAATCGGTTTTGAAATTGTCTCATTGCTATTTGTTTCTCAAAGAAATTATTTAAAAAAAAAAAAAAGATTCCTAGAGTAACCAAATTTGATAGTGTATCAGGGTACGAAGTCAACCCTTAAAAATCAATCATGAAGGGCTGGAGATGTTCAGCGAACTAAGTGCCTGCTTAGGCAAGCACAGGGACTAGGGTTTGATCCCTGGTACCACATGACGCACCAGCACTGCCCCCAGGCACGCGGAACTGGTCACAGAGACCACATGGCACACACCTAAAATCCCAGCATTAGGGAGGCTGAAAACAGGATGATCAGTATGAGTCTTGAGGTGCAGTGAGACCTTGTACCAAATAAATCAGTTAAATAAATAAATAAAAGCATGTTCCTGTACACCAATAACATTGACCAAGAGGGAAATCAGGGAAACAATAGCATTTACAATAGCATTAAAAAAAAAACTGAACAATTTAGGAATTAACTAACCAAGAGACATGAAAGACCTCTACTCTGAAAAAAGAGAGCAAAGAGGATATCTGAAAATGCAAAGATACACACTGTCCCTGGAGAGGCAGAACCATTATGACCAAACTTCCAAAAACTGTTACATGGATTTAATGTAATCCAAATCAAAATACCAGTAATATTCCTCACAGAACTAGGGAAACCAATCCTAAAATTCATATGGAATCAGAAGAGACCTAGAATAACAAACAGAATTCTGGGCAACAGCAAGGTGGGGAGGCATCACAATCCAGACTTCAAACTATGCCACAAAGCTGCAGCCATTGAAAAAAAAAAAAAAAAAGTGTAAAAGCGAAAAGCAAGGTATTGGCAAAAGCCAAAAGACTGTGCCACAGTAGAACAGAACAGAGGACGCAAGGGCCAGGGAGATAGCACAGCAGCATTAGCGCCTGCCTGGCAAGCACAAGGTCCCAAGTTCGATCTCCAGTACCAAAAAAAGTACACTTAAGATTAAAGAATTAGTGAACTAAAGAGAAAACTTCTATAAAAAGTTTTAATAACAGGATGGAGAAACAACTCCAGGCACACTTAGCTAATTTATCTTTGAGAAAAGGGTCCAAACACCTTTGCTGGAGGAGAGACAGCCTCTTTAACAAATGCTGCTAGGAAGAGAGGCCAGCCACAGCTTAAGGTTAAACTTGGACTCTCACAATGCATTAAGTGAAAATTAAAATGGACCAAAGACCTAAACATTAAGAACAATCTGCTGGACAACAGAACAGGTAAAACTCTTGAAAGTCAGTGGAGGCAAAGACCTGATGAACAAAACCCTAACTGCACAGGGAATATTACAAAGAACAAACACGATCTTATATTAAAAACCTTCTGCAAAGCAAAAGAAATTACCAACACAGTGTAGAGACAGCCTACAGAATGGGAACATTTTTTGGCTAGCTGTCCTCAGAGGACTTACCTCAAGAATTTACAAAGAACTCAAAAAATTAGACTCTTACAAATTTAGAAACCCAATCCAAAAATGGGCATCTGAAATGAACAATACTTCTCAAAAGTACAAAAATCCAATAAATACATGAAAAAAATTATCAACATCATTGTTCTTTCAAAAAAATCAAAACTTCTCAAAAGTATAAAAATCCAATAAATACATGAAAAAAATTATCAACATCATTGTTCTTTCAAAAAATCAAAACATTGAGAGTCCATTTTACTCCAGAAAGAATGGCTACCAGAAAGCACAAAGACCCGGATTCGATCCCCAGTACCACATGCCAGCCACGGAAACCAGGTGTGATGGTGCATGCCTATAATCCCAGCACTGGGAAGGCTGAGACAGGAAAATCACTATGAGTTGGAGCTACGGAGCAAGACCCTGTATCAAATAAATAAAGTTTAAAAAAAATTAATCAACAAATGCAGGCAAGACTATGGAAGAAAAAGTAACCCTTCTCCGATGTTGGCTGGAGTGTAAACTGGTACAACCACTATGGAAAAACAGTAGGAGATGCCTCAAAAAACTACAAACTAGAGATTCCACCTGACCCAGCTATTCTCCTCCTAGGCATCTTCCCAAATGAGTTAGAAGACATTTAAGTATACATGTGTATCCGTGCTAATAGCAGCAGTATGTAATAGCAAAATCTGTACATCTATCAACAAATGAATGGCTAAAAATTTATACACATGAAGTAATGTTGTGCCATAAAGGAGGGATTTTTAGGTAAACGGCTTCATGCACTTAAGAGACCATAACCTTAAATCAAACACACAAGTTTAAATATTGCATTACTTCACTTGTGTGAGAAATCCAAAATATAAACAAGGAGTAGAATGGGAGAGATGTTAACAAATTGGAAGACCTTGTTCAAATGGGAAGGAGAACACAAGGTGAAGGGAGGGATGTAAGAGAAAAAGAACTTTAAAAAAGTTGAAAAATGAATACACTTTTTTTAATGTGGACAAAAAAATTAAGACATGTTACATGTCCACATACTGCAAACATACTAATTTAAAAATGAGAAAAACAAAGTTATTTTTAGATGTGATGACGATGCTTTTACTTCCTTGTAAAGCAAAATGACTGAAAACAAAATTTTCCAAGTGAAAACACTTCTCTTTTTCTATAAACATAAGCCAGGACCACAGGACTCCCTCCATGCATGTGAACAGAAACCAAAGCCACAAACTTCCACAGGGTCGGTCGGGCTGCCCTGGCTCAGGGCCAGGCCACCCCAGTGCCTTCTTACTCAAGAGCTTCCTACCGACCCTTCATGCCCTCCAAGGGCAGACCACCACACACCAAACTCTGCTAAGACAGTGTAACTGGTCAGCAATTCTAACACACTGGCCACTTTTCAGAAAAACAGGAGCAGAATTATGTATTACCAGTAACATTTTTTACTTCCTGACCTACTTTCTTTTGTATTTACCTTTTAATTGAAATGGAGAGCTTTAAGAAAAGGTTGGAGATACTGTCCCTAGGCTTCTCAAGCAGTAACCAGACAGTAACCTAAAGCAGAATTAGGGTGAATATTCCAACTGAAAATGTCACCATGATACAACACAGTTTAACATTCAACTGGGGATTGTGTGCACGCCAGGAATCAAACTCAGGACCTTGTGCTTGCCAAGCAGGCGCTGTGCTGCTGAGCTATATCCCCAGTCCCAACATTTAATCTTATATTCTACTTTGAAACTGAATATATATGGCACAAAGAGAAAAATATACACTTTCAACTAAAAAAGATAAAAGGTGGATTGAAGAATAGTCCTAACTGTTCAGTGTATTGCCAAAATACTTGAGAGCTGAGTTAGTGTTATATGTATCCTGTTGCCAGACAATAAATACAGATTATTTTTCCCTATGCATTCTTCCTATTTCAGACAAAAAGAATAATTCTGACTCTTGGATATTTTAGAATTTCTAGAAGCCGTCCCTTATCCTGAAATTATAAAACGAAACTGAATATGCATTTGGCAGTATTTATATTAAAAAGGATTTTTTTTCCTTTTTGTGTGTGGGGCCAGAGACTGAACTCAGGGTCCCTACATGCTAGGAAAGCTCTTCCATTGAGCTATGTCTGTTTTTCATTTTTAGACAGGGTCTCAGTTGCCCGGGTTCGCCTTGAACTAGAGGTGTCCTGTCATGTCGCTGGGATCACACTCACACTCCTCACCCCGCATTCACCATTGTCCCTTTAGCAACAAAGACCAAAGGCAAAGCTGAAAGCTGGCTTTAGGGTATTCTCCACCTAAACACTGAATCAGGAGTCTGACTCAATTCTAGTAATAGCTTTTATTTCTTATGGAAAAGTACAGTAGTTGTGCAGAAACAAAACTACATAATAAAAGAGTAAGAGTTTCACAAATATTAAAGAAAATAATAAATAAGCCATAGTAGTTATAGCAGAACTCATGGAAAGCTTATAAAAATGATAAAGCTGTTTGTACAAGTACACTGTATACAACACACACAGCAACAGATGTTGAAGAATGACACCAGAAGGTTCCTAGTCGTACAAAACCTTAATGATGTTGGTAGGAACTTTATAACTACTCATTTTTAAGTCTGCAAATATAGAACTTCCTTCTCCCCAATTCTGAAAAATAAATTTCACATCCTAACATACAGAACAAATACAGCCTCACCTCTCTCAAACTAACATTTTAAACACCTCCAATACCACAACTTTTTCATATAAAAATACCTTTAAAGCAAGGTTCATTCTTGTACCTTATCTTTACAAATGAATAATACATCAGCTTGGACTTTAGCACCTTACAGGTGTTCATATAAATGAGATAAAGTGCCGTTACCGGTATACTGTTAACATGCCGTAATAACGTATCATTCAGTGCAATAACCAGCATGGATGACATTGACAAAGAACATGCACATGTATGGCTGGGTTTGTTCTTTGTGTTTGCTTTTAGTTTAACTCTTTTGAAACGGTTATATTTACAAGTCTGAATAAAACTGGGCTACCTGTGTAATATATACATGTGACTATGAAGAATGGCTGTGTAACAAAACAAGGCCAACAACCAATCATACCTCCAGTGTCCAATTTAAATATTTCAAATATCTGAAAGGACTTTGGAAGACTTGTTTCAGGAACGTTAGCAGTTTTAGAATCACTTGAGACTAATTTATAAGCTCCACTAGGAATGCTGGTCTTAGTACTTTAGCTCAAATCTGATCTAACCACCAGTCCATATTAAATAGCCTGTCCTGATTCCAACTATCAAAAACACCTTGAAGCATGAATATAGTTCCAGAAAGAATACTGTGAAAATGCTCTGAATAAGAACCGTTACATGGAAATAAATGTTTAATTTTCTAAAAGGAACTGCTAGGAAGGGAACAATACTTGATGTTCATATATTTTGCTTAAGTGAAAAAAGCAAAGAAAAATCACCCACCTTATGTTTACAGTCACCTCATATTCAGCTAGAAATCACTGGATATATATATATATATATATATATATATATATATATATATATATATCACAAATATATATACATATATATGTATATATAATTGTGATTTGACTGGATGGAACAGTACAACTTGAAAATTATACCTTCCCCAGGATACATCATTTGGGTTAAACTTTTCAGCAAGGGACATTGTTTTCCTGTCTACATACTGTTTTGGTTTTGCCAAATAGCAAAGGCAAGGAGAAAAGTGATTACAAACCAAATAATTTCATAAGACCGAAGCAGAAGTTAATGTAGTGTTGGCTGTCTTGAGGTTTTAACTTGATAGGTATAGCTAAAGCTAATTTTTAATTGTTTAGCATTCCTATTTACGGTGACCTCTAACTAATTACAGAAGTTTTTCCTACATTTTTAATACATCAATGGTATCAGATGCACCCTGGAAAAAAAAAAAAAAGTATGGCTATAAAGAAATTTTTATGATGAGAAACTATTGAACTGTTTACCACCAGGAGTCAACACACCGTTTTCTGAAAGGTACTACTGGGTCTCTTTAAGGCTCAGACATTTGACTCTATGAAGGATCGCTTTGGTTTTGCTGAAGCGAGGCCGCTCCTGTGGGCCTCGCTGCCAACGGGGGGCGGCTGCTTGGAGACGCTTTCCTGGTACAGATGAGATGCGCTCTTGGTTTTCCTGCCGTCTGGATAGTGGGCTGGGATGGGGCACTTGCTTTCTTCTACCTCCTTCACCTGTGCTCCATTGTGGACAGCCCCACTCAGGGTGGAAACAGGACAGGCTTTGGCTTGGCTGCTGAATCCTCCTCCGGGCTTGAGGGAGGGCTTCTCTGAGTTAGTGGGCTGCAGGCCAGCTGCAGCAGATGTGTTCGTCAGCAGCCCCTCTGCCACCTGACAGTGCCAGGCCCGGTGGGCAGGGTGACCCTGCTGTTGGAACCTCGCAGTCTTGTCCATGATGCCCATGAATGGAGTATTGCGGGGCCTGTGCTCAGCAGTGCCACCCTGTACCTGACTTACCACCTGGTCTTTAATTCGAGCCTCTGGTCCGTGGACCTTGAAGCCTTCTGAAAAGCTACTGCTTGAAGTCAAACTACTGGTTGAACTTGACATCTTTATGCTGCTCGAAGGAGACCCAGAAGAGCCAGAGCCTGAGCTGCCGAGGGAAGCTGGGTGTCGCCCATCACCACAGCTCCCAGGTCCACCCTGGCTTGGAAGGGTCACATCCCCAGCCACGGCAGCATGGGCCAGAAGCCTCTCGGCGGCTTTGATCTTGCTTGGTAAAGGATATGCAGCACCACTCTCACCGCGCTGCAGGTGGACATTCTGGCCAGGACCCAGTCGATCACCAAAGTGGCCACAACTGGCTCCCACGGTGAAGGTGCCAGGCCCCTCCACTTGCTGGTTTCTGCTCCCAGGGGCAGCTGAGGGGCCTCTTCCCGGCATGGGACTTGGGGGAGGATTCTGAGAAGAGACCTGAAGTCTTGTGCTACCATGTCTCATGCTAGACTGCATGGAGCCCAGATGTTGGTTGGTTTTCACTATCTGTGCCTGTTTCGTGGGCTGCATAACCAGCCCTGGCTGAGCGACAGTCTCTCTCAGAGACTTGCTGCCTCCTGCCCTACTCTGTGGCGATGCTGGGCTGCCTTTAGACTGGAAGCCTTCTTGAAGGTTTCGAATACACGAGGAAGGGCCAGGGGTGGGCAGCTGGGACCTGGGAGTCGGGGGAACAGACTCTGCCTGTGGAGAAGTTTCTTCCTCTTCAGTCTCCTCGAGGTGAAAGTGGTCATTTAACCCTGGGGCTGGGGAATCCTCCTCATTGTCCGAGTCATCTGGGGGAGCTGGTGGAGGGCACTGCTGCTTTTGCTGCTGGTTCCTCTGGAGTTGCTTGCACTCCTCTTCCACGCGAGCCAGGAGCCTCTTGATTTCCTGATTGGTGGGACACAGCTTCACTGCCTCCTGCAGGTCAGCCAGGGCTGCCACGAATTGCCTGCCCAGGAAAGCAGAAGACACAATTGCAAGTCATGTAGTGAACATGGTCTGGGCCTGCCTACTTTCAAAACTACTGTGCTCAAAGGGGCAGTAAATGGCTGAGTGAGGTCTGCCCCTGGCTGTAGTTGGCAGGCTCTGTCTTGCCCGCAGTTGCTCAGCTAAGTGGCACTTCTGCCCAGATCCATGTACCTGGGGCCCTCAGACACTGAGCTGGGCAGGAGGACATGCACAGGCCAGCGAGGGCCCAATTCCTCACCACGCTCCATGCCAAGTCAGGGGCATTCGCAGCACTCACCCTCCCCTTCTTCTGTCCCCATGTGGCTGAGCCAGGAGCCTCACCCAGGGTTGTAGCAAGTCTCAACGAGGGGCTGGGTGGGAAGGGATGGCCGCTGAGATGCCAGAAGACAGAAGTCTGGCTGCGGCTGATATTCTGCTGTGCCTCGTGGGAGCCACCTAGTTACCACTCAAAGTGCTGAGAGCACCTGAGTAACCCCAACGAAGCAAAACACCTCACACTCAGCAGGTGTGATCCCACAGACAGAAAGGCTCATCTAGTCGACCTGGAGATCCAGGCAGTACCTGCTATTTCTCTTCGCTCTTGCCCTGGCATAAAAGGCTTCATAGGACTTGGGCTTCAACTCCAGAGCCTTGGAAGCAAATTCTTCAGCCATGCCAAAGTCCTGGTATCAACAGGTAAACACGTGCATCAGATACGGCGCTGAAATAGTTACAGCCAATTCTTTCATGGGAGCTTTGCCCTAGAGGGCGGCAGGACAGGGGCACTACAGAGGGACGAAGACAAAGTCTTGTCTTAATGTTAGATGATCAGAGTCTCTGGCTATTCTGAGGAATCCAGTACAGAAGCAGCACTGGTGGCTCACAGTAGGGACAGTGAAAGAAAGGTGCAGAGGGCAGGGCAGAGGCTGGCACCAGGGGAGCCTGGGCCACAGGGACAGGAGGGCGGGGGCTTCAGTGGGCTGGGGCTGGGAGCCAGCGGGGCAGAGGGACAATGTAGAGGAATCAAAGTAGAAGAAGTACTGAACTATTTGCTAGTTACAAGTAAGCAAACCTGAGGGATGCTACGGCAGGGGACTGCAACAGATAACATTCATGTTATCACCTGGTGACAGTGCTGGAAAGATCCCTGTAGGAAGGGGGCAGGAGCAGTTTGCATGTGCTCATCAGGGACGCAGAGGAATGTGCCCTGACCTTAGAGTCTCCACCAGCACCTCGCGGCCCATCAAGAGCAGCAGCTCCCACACGCCAGGCGCGCGCACAGTGGCCGCGCAGGACTCGCCCTGCAGCCAGGCTGGGCTGGGGTAAAGGGCCTGGCTTACATTGGTTTTTCTCCGACATCGAGACAAGCTGAGATAGAGGGAGACTCTTAGTTCATTGAAAGGTCTCATGTCCTCCCCAAGTCCTTCTCGAGGAAACTTTCTCAAGGCGTACTGGTACCGCTGCGTCGCCTCCTTCATCTTCCCTTTCTAGGACACAAGAATCACAGAGTGAACCCTTTTCTGGGGGCTCACAGAAGAAGAAGCTCCCACATCCAAAGACCCCCTGGAAAGCCCTCCCACATACGAAGGGATCCAGATGCCCAAGGTCGGAGCTGGGACACTAGCGAGTCCAATGCTCCTGGGCCTGCGTCCTCACCGTATCCACGACAGGTGGACACACAGGAAGGAGGCTTCCCAAGAGGGCACTCATAAACGGCCAGGCCAATAGCTACCAACACATCCAACTATCTTCCCCGTGACACATTCAAGAAGGGTCTCCCATCTCCCACTTGAACGCCAAGTGTAATAGAAATAAGATTAAAAAAAAAAAGAGAGAGAGATGAAAAATTAAGCTGTTTCTAAGGCAAGCAGAGTCTTGTGGGAGACCAAGAGCTTGCTACAGAATAACAAGTTTCCTTTAAGAAGAGCTTTAAAGCCGGGGCTCTAAAAATCTGAGCACCACCACATCATTTTCAAGGCTAAAGAAATCCACTTGCTCAGTCAGCCTTGTCACACAGCGGGTGCACAGCCCGTGGAAAATAGCCTGGCATTTTTCACATAATTGCCTACCAAAATCCATATTAAAAACACTTCAAAGCCCAAACAATACATACTCTGAACTGAATTTCAAACTGATTCCAAGCCTAGAACCCTGCTGGGTCATGTCGTATATGTATTTATTTGTTACCATTAAAAAATGAAAAGGAAAATAAACTCACAATACAGCAAATAAAGCTGCCTAGTAATAAAAAGGATTAAAATGGTTATAATTTAATGGTTTATTTTTTCCCATAATTTTTAATTCTATTTAATAACAGGAGTGAAAAGAACAGTGATCTGTGTACACGGCCTACACTTCTATCTAAATTTGGGGTTAGCAAATTGCACTCTGCAGGCCAAATGTGGCTGCTACTTGTGTCTACAAATAAAGTTTTATTGGGACACAGCCATAAGAGCTGGGCAGATGTGACACATGCTGCATGCTTGTCATCTGTGAAGCCTAAAATATGTGCTATCTGGCTCCTTATAGAAAGGTTGCAGACTTTTTTTTTTTTTTCTTTGTGGTTGATCTGGTATTTTTTTTTTTTCCAAAGTTTTATTGATAAACAGATAGCAATGAGACAGTTTCAAATCAAATCGGAAGTACAGTTTCAAGAAATAATACACTGCATATATTCTTCTTAGTGGTTAACTGCTATACAAGATGCGGACTTGTGATCCTATTTACAAACACCATTAGAACAAATCATTCCAGTCATCAAGACAATGCAACTATGTATCTATCCTAACCACTTTCAATACACAGAAACAAAATGGACATTCATCGGTATACCCCATTTTTTCTAAGTTCTGTTATTGAATATTATAGGGGTGTAAACTCAGCAAAATATTCTAAAAGAGTCCAGTAGCCCATAATAGCATTGGGTCTTCTGTTTAACTGGCAATGTCAGAAATTATTGACCTGAGTCCCCCATAGCTCAACATAACAGCATGGCTTTATTTCCTATATTTCGTCTTCATACTTTTCTACTGGATGGTTAAGTCCAAGGTAAAGCAGGACCTATGCAACAAGAGTTGTAGCTTTTTGGTCTGAGAAGGTCAGTGAAATGCCCTCAGGATTTATCCTGAGATCCTGTACCTCAGATTGTAGAACCTTTGTCAGTGCAGCCATGTGGATGAGTCACGGCCATTGCTTGGCCAATGTGCTCTCTGTGAAAGCCTGAGAGAGTGTCTTCTCCCCATGTGACTCTCCTTAGGCACACTCTATGTCATCGATCACTTTCCTCTTTGGTCCCATAATCTTCTTGATCAGAAAATTTGGGACACTACCGAGGTACATGACGTTACAGTACAAGTTCTCATATGTCCTGAGTCTTAATTGACCTTAGAAGGCTAGGGCCAAAATGTTGGCTTTCCTTGTAGCCCTCCTTTTTCTCTAATTTTGGTCTGCAAATTTAGGTTGTTAACCATCCAGAAGACAAGCTTATTGTTATTATCAAACGATTTAGGCTATCAAGCTTAACCTCACTATCTCACTGCGTTTCAAACATCTTAGGCATAATAAGGAACAGGTATTTTTCATCAAGTATTGATATGTTGAACTTTAAGTCCCTACATAATATGATAAAAAAACATTTAAAAGGTTGCAGACTTTTGATCTAAACTGACATCTCATTTTGGAAATTTTAAAGTCAAATTTATTTACCTACAAATCATATTTCTGTTCTGAGGGAATTGGGAAAAAAAACTATCTCCTGAATAGCTAATAATTATATGACTTGACTACATTAAGTAAAAATGTTTCTAGAAACACTTTCAAAATCCAAAAGTTTATAGATACTTTCTAAATATTAGCAAAAGGCGGTCGAGCCAGGTGTAGGGCTGTACACCTGTAATCCCAGCATGCAGAAGGCTGAAGCAGGAGGGTCACCAGGAGTTCAAGGCCAGCCCGCACACTGGTCAGGGGAGATAGCTCAGTGACATAAGCGCCTGCCTGGCAGGCACCTGATCCCGAGTTTGCTCCCTGGTACCAAAAAACAAAAGAATCTATAAAGAGACCCTGTCAAAATGAAATATGGAAATAAAGGAAGGAAGGAAGGAAGGAAGGAAGGAAGGAAGGAAGGAAGGAAGGAAGGAAGGAAGGAAGGAGAAAGACAAAGGCAAAGGCAAGGCTGGAGAGACTGAATGCACACATCGCCTAGGTGGTCCTTTCCATGTGTCAACTGACTGTCACAGTGCCACGCTGTGGCTTCTGAGAACATGTAAAGGCCAAGGAACCCTGTGGGAAGAGCCAAGTGAACTAGAGGTGATTCTCCTGGACACCACGGATTCAAGCGCAAGTCACAGCCACAGCCTCAAAGATTAGTTCCAAAATAATGTCCCTCAGGCTGAGAAGCGCCTTCTAGCAAAGGCTCTACATCAGGCTCTGCACATGAGGCCAGGTGGGCGTCCTTTGGAATGTATACCGCCACGGAGTGCCATTTGCTCTACACAGCAGCACGCCTCCAGCCATAAATGCTGAAGCAAGAGGCTGCTGGGAGCCAGGTTTGACAGCACAGAGAGTGGTACCACTTACTTTATACATCACATTTCCTTCCTCCATTAATTTCTGTAACAGGATAATCAAAATATCAGGTTTGGAGGTGGCCATCGCCCAGGCAGCGTTTCCTGCAAAATAAACATGCTTTCAGAGGTGCTTCTAAGATCCAGGGGAAGGCAGGTCGCAACTTTCAGGTCCTCAAAACTGTACGTTGCAAACAGCAGAAGTCCAGCTGCAGGGACACAGCTGTGTGTGGGCAGACAGCAGTGTGACAAAGGAAGCAGTGGGCAGCAGCAGGCTGGCTGCTCCTAATTTAATTGACACTGAGCCAGGCACGCAGGTGGAAATGGTGCTGGCACAGCCTATCCTTCATATCATACCTCTGTGGAAAACAGTAGCGAACCTAGGGCGTCAGAGAGCCCAGACCTGTCCCACCCTTTGGGAGAGGAGCTGAAGGGGAAACTGGACCCAGACCTCAGCCACCACCCTAGCTTCCCCCAGTCCCATAAAGCCAGCAATGGGTCAGGTCGGTGTCCCCGAGTGCCAGCACATTTACCCTTACTGTCTACTCCAAGGCCACTTGGCTGGGGCCCTCCTGCCCCTCCCTGGCCAGCTTCTCTCCTAGCTACATCACAGCCTTCTTGATTACCCCACTCCTGGTGCTTCGGGCACTGCAGGGAGGGGTGTGGAGAGCACTCAGGCTCGGCTAGGTCTACTTACTGTGACCTGACCTGAGGAGACCGTACAGCCCTCCTGTGCCTTAGTTTTCCTGTGCAAAATCGCAGTATCGTGAATGCTTACAGGGCTGTGAGGAGAGCCAGGTAAACTGGGAAGCAGCTCGGGCTGGGGTCACCATATCCCCAGCTGGTTGACCACGACTACACAGCTAAGCTGTTCCTCAGACTCAGAGCAGCTCTTGGAGCTGTGGAGCCTGGCCCACCCCCACAGAGCCTGGCTCACTCTGCCCTCTGCGGCTCCTGAGTGTCAGCAACATACTTGGCCCCTGCTTTCACCCACACCAGCAGTAGTATCATGAGCTATGTAAATGTTCTGGATAAGACAAGGAGACAGAGGCAGGGAGAGAAGAGGGAGTACGGAGAGGGGCAGACGCAGAGACCAAGACACAGAGCCCCCTCTCGGCAACCCAACGTCTCTTTCACCCTGTGAGCAGGCAATCTATATGTTCCCCAAGTCACTCTGAAGAAAGAAGCCAACCCCTCCCGGGCTGAATAGAGGTGAGATTCACTGACCTAATTTGGCTCCTTTTCTGAGCAATGTGACCACGACAGTGGTGTTTCGACAGCCGATGGCTCTGTCCAAGGGCCGCATCCCACTGTGGTCCACGTGCTCAATCACAGCTCCCTTCTCGACCAGGTACAGCACCTGCAGGGGACAGCAGGGCCCTGAGGAGCTGCACTAGAAGGGATGGCAGCTGCCCAGCCATCTCCATATCGTCATTCTGGTGCTGGTGGCTTTCGCTTTGCCCCTGCTATAGAAGGGGCAGTGATCCAAGAGTGGACATGAAGTAGACACGAAACGGAGAACAAGAGCTAATGCCTATAAGCGAACACCACCTCTGCTTCAGAGGGAGCAAGCAGATGCTTTGGGGTGCACGTTGGGAGCACCCAGGCACGTGTACCAGACAGGAAGTGTCTGCCCTACTTCCCAGGCCACAGGGGGAGACACTGTCACCTTCTTGCCTGCAGAGGCCAGCATGCCCCAAGTGACTGGAATGGGCATCCCAGGAACATCAGCCTACGCAGCCCAGGTCTCAGGGGCTGCAAAATCAGCAGTGGAAGACCAGACAGAACCTGATGGGATTCATGTTAAGGCCCAGGAAAGACACCTGCTGAACACTGGGACTGCAAAGAGGGCTTGTTTGAGGCCATGGTACAAAAACTCCATGTTGTGAAATAGCAGCTATGTAAACTAAACAGGTAACACTAAGGAAAATAATCTTTTTTTTTTTCTTACTTAATAGAAAACAAATCTGTAGCCAGTTAGATTTCCATATGAATTTAACATGACATGCTTCCTGTCAGTCCTCCAGCTATTGAAATGATACTAAACAGCTTGATATCTAAAATATATTTTAAAAACTCTACAACTTAACAATAGTAGCAAAATAAAATTAATAGAGACTTGAGTGAGAGATCGGAATACTTTCTCCAAAGATGATATACGGTAACCATATGAAAAGATGTTCAGTTATACTAATCATTAGGGAAATGAAACCAAAACGATGAGATAGCATTGGTACTAGAGTACGAGTACTGGTACTATTTTTTAAAAAATTAGCCAAGGATAACAAGTGTTTGAGAAGATGTAAGAAACTGGAACCTCGTACGCTGCTGACAGGACCCTAAAATGGTGCGCTTGCTGGAAAAGACTGTGGAGGACCTGTAAGACAGGAGTATGCAATCCAGCAATTTCACATCTGCATGTATCCAGGAAGCTGAAAGCAGTGTCTTCATAAGAGACAACTGTGGGTATACAGGGTCATGTACATGTTTGTAGTATACATAAACTGTAAGCAGGTAAGCTTTAAGCTTTTAAGAGCACAATAAGTCTTTATTGCAACAGTCCTGGGATGGATTGTATGTCACAGAATTAACGAAAACTAACTTTCACAGCCTGAACAACGCGCGCACACCAATCACACTTAGCCACAGGCTGACGTGCCCCCAGCTGGTCTGGTACTCACAGTCTCAGCGTCGCCATAGAAAGCAGCCAGGTCCAGTGGTGTGCGGCCGTTCTTGTCTGTCTGGTCTATCTCGGCTCCTTGTTCAACCAGATACTGCACTACAGCCCTGTGACCCTTTAGACAAGCCCAGCTCAATGGTGACAGACCCTCCTTGTCCAGAGCAGAAAGGGTGGCACCTGCAAGGAAAGGCCAGTGATAAGACGTGACCCAGAGGCATAGCCACAGCAGGGTTCTGGGAGTGGCACACCAGTAGCACAGCACGATGGCTGGCAACTGCATCGGTCTGACGTGGTGAAGTCTGAAGCCGATGGCCATGCGGTCATCACAGAGGCTGGGCAAGGGACACGTGCACCATTCTGTCTATGCTCTCTGCTAGATGGCTTAGAAAACTACCACAACAAAACTAAACTCCCATAACATGGAGACTTTGGAAGCAGGAGACCTATGTGGGTGGCAGGTAACTTGCTGATACCTTTGGAAAGGAGGAACTCCACGGTGCTCAAGTGCCCCTCACAGGCAGCCACCATGAGGGGTGTCCGGCCCTGCTTGTCACTCAGGTTCACGTCACAGCCACGCTCCAACAGCAGCCTCACAATCTGAAAGACATGACCAATTACTGTCTTCCTGCTGCAGGTCTTTTAAAACTCCCTTTAAGTTGTAGGATATGCTTTTCTCCAAACACACACCCTTCTCTAACATGCCCACTGCATTGCTGTGTCTACAAAAACCACACAGACAGGCAGAAGTGGTCATTTAGGGCTCAGAATGCCAAGCTCAATGAATAGAACAGGGCAGCCCCGCAGGGAAGCGGGACAGCTAAGGAAAGCGTAGGCTGACGAGGGGCAAGCAGCGGCTGGGGCCGGGGCCAAAGTGGAGCACACTCAGCCCTCCGTACCCGTGGGCTCCACATCAGTGGACTCAGCCAGTGGTGGATGGAAGCTTTTAAAAAACTGCACCTATGCTGAACAAGTACAGACTGCTTCCCTGTGATGATTCCTTAACACAATATAATGATTACTTACGTATTTGAGTTACATCATGCATTATATATAAGCCGTCTAGAGATGACTGAGTGCATGGGAGGATGGCGCAGGCTGCACCTGCGTATTACACTGTGCCACTTTACGGGAAGGACTTGTGCCTTCACGGCTCCTGCTATTTCCCGGCGCCCTGCTATCTCCCAGGTGCCCACCACAGAGCATGTGGGATGGGCAGCAAACGGGCTTTGCCAGGCAGAGGGACTTGGCTCCAGGAAGAGGCTTCATAGCATGCAAGGCACAGAGCGGAAAACACAAGGTAGGAAGGCACCTCACAGTCATTGTGCCAGTAGGACATGCTTCATCCAAGGGGCTTTCTTGGGCACTGACTTAGTGAGCCACTGCAGTGGCCAAGGTGACGTATTCCCATGGCTTTCTCATTGTTTTGCACCAGGAAATGCTTCCCGCCTTCTCTGTGACTTAGGGAAACACAGCAGGAAGGCCAACATGTGCATGTGCATGTGCATGTGCATGTGCATGTGCATGTGCATGTGCATGTGCACGCACGCGCCTGCCTTTCCTGTAATAGGCACGAGACCCTTCTGTCAGTCTTCGTAATGTGCTGCAGGGTTTGCATGAGCTCGAGATCACTGTGTACAAAATGAAGGGGAGGACCAAATGATGAAATACATGTAAGGAGCCCTCACTCCTAAAGACAGCGAGGGAAAGGCAAGCTCTTCTCCTTCCTCTTCCCCTACTTCCCTTCTCTGGAGGCAAGGTTTCACTCTAATTCAGGCTGGCCTCGACATCATACTGCCTCAGCCTCCTGAGTGCTGGGATCACAGGCATGCGCCACCACGCCTGGCTAGTGCATACCTTCAGTAAGAGCACAACAGCACTGCTCTTGACAGCAGCAGACAAACCTTCTCTGACCCACCGGGCCCAGCCACTCCAGCCCTTACAGGCAGGGGAGCAGCCCCGGTTGGTGGCAGCACTGCCAGGCTTGCCCCACACCTACACCTGATGACTGTGCTGTCACATGTCTGCCTATGTGTGAAGTACTAAAGGCGCGGGCTGAAGCCAGGGTTGAGAAACAGGGCTGGGGTCATAGGTGCTCTCAGGCTGTCCCCATCATTATTTTGAAAGCATTCCAGGGATCCATAGTGTACCTGCCAGTGCCCCTGGCGTGCTGCACAAAACAATGGGGGGACCCCTCTCTTGTTCGTCCGAGAAACAGCAGCACCCTGTTCCAGCAGCAGCTCGCAGACCTCCAGCTTCCCTCTTCCTGCAGCAGCAGTCAGGGCTGCAGGAAAGATACAGGTGGGAAGATGTTAGTAGGTGTGGAGTACTGGGCCACAGAGGCTCCGGAAACCACCATTTTTGTCCTCTCCCTTTGAATGTGGGTGGGTCAATGATAGCTGCAATTAGCAGAACATGGCAGAAAAGGATGCAGTTCTGCTGTCTGGGCTGGGCCCTTCCTTGGAACACTCAGCCCAGAATACTGACACACCATGCTCTGCAGAGACCCATGCAGCCCTGTGGAGAGACCCATAGTCCTGGGGGTTGCTTGTGGATGGCCAACTCCAGCTGGCCCACCACACGCACAAGCTGTCCCAGGAAGATCTGCAGTCCCAGGGAAGCTACGCTCATCAGAGCCCCCAGTCCACCAGGCACAAGGAGGCACAGCTAGAAGGCTTGAGCTTCGTTTTTCACTGCAAAAGATCATCTGAATATAGTGCAGCTCAAAGTAGACTGGTATTATTGTCTAGTTTAAGCCTCTCCCCACTGAGTCAAGCTTCACCCAACAAAATTTCTGAGGCAGGCAGGGGCGGATCCCTTTACTCCACTGATGGAGCTTAGAACTGTGCTAACAAGGTAAGAAACTTGAAGTCAAGAAAGACAAGAAATGTGTGTAGAGTGCTGAGTTCAATACGCAGGTGAGTGTGGGGCAACAGGGCGCTGGTGCGGGGTGCTGCCATGGAAGGAGGGGTGGGCACAGCACGGACACAGAAACGTGGAGAAAAAGCCCATCATGATAGCCATGCCTCCACCATGCCGCTCTGATGCTTGCTTCTGCTGTGTCACGTGAATTGCCATCTTGAAAGGATGACAGAAGAAAGCCTGGACAATTGTTCTTCCTCGTTACGACAAGAGGACAGGACCGAGTAGGCTGGGATGGGAGCTCTTCGGTGGGAGGGCATAACACCAAGCGAGAGGAAGAAATCAGCGTGCTGTGATGCTGTGGCTTGATTCCTGGTGCCTACTTGGCACAACTGGTTTCAAACACAGCCCTGAGCCTATAAATCCCTAGCTTCAGAACAGAGCAGTGTGTCCACAAATCAGTAAGGCAGACAGACCTCTCAGGGGGAGCAGGTAACACAGCCACAGTTCCTTCACAGAACTTTTAAGTCCCATTAGGAAAAATGTCTGGCCTCAGGGTTCAGGCAGATGAATGCTCACTTGCAGCAGGCAGGAGCAAATTGGGAGATGGCTCTGGAAAGGGCCAGTCTTGCTAAGTCACCCTGCAGCCAGGCTCTCCTCACACACACACCCCGCCGCCATTGCAGGGATTGCATCAGGAAACGGGAACAGTCCCACGGGGGGCCACTACACATCACCGAAAGCTATTATGCTGTTAAACACACAATGGGTCAGGCCCACAGTCTGATACAAAGAAACAGAACACCAAGGACACAGTGACTTCATTCATATAGTTCAAAACTAGCCCTGCTGTGGAAGCCGGGGCCTTAGGGGCCTCCTTTTGGAGTGAGTGGGTCTGTCCAGTCCTGAGCTCCTCAGCACAGCCAGGACGTGGCAGCTATGGTCAGAGGAGCCAAGGGCTAACAGGCTGGTTTCTTCCCATACCTCTAAGGCCATCTGTCTTCTTCCTCAGGCTCCTTTCAGGACAGCTGGCTGATGCTTGTTCCCTTTATGCCCACCATAAGCATGGGCGTTTGGGGGCCAGCTCCTAACCAGTGTTCGCCTGTGGCCACGTCTACTGAAGTCTCCTATCAGTAGGGTGGTCCCACAAGCCACACACACACAAGGTGCAGATCTGACAGCTGGGCCTGATCTCTTGGGACAAAGAGCAGTTCCTCCAGTCTCTATGGCCTGTCCTCAGAGTCACAGTGCAGCATGGCCAGAAACTTTATATGTCGCACCTGCCTAGTGTCACTTGAGCTCTGCTCCCAACCCAGGGTCTTGCTCCTTTGAAAAGCAAGGTGCAAGATGGAGCTCAGCAGAGGGAGACAGCATGCTGGGTGAAACTGGGGACCTAGGACAGAAATGTAGGTAGGAAGATGGCAGAGAAAGCACAGCCTCTTGGCCCTTCCCAAAGCAAGCCAACTCTCCCTTTGCTTCTGGACTTCAGCTTCCCTGCAGCAAAGGTACAGGCCGCAGTAGAGAGGGTACTGGCTCCTTTTCAGACCACCCTGTGAGAGCTCCCAGGGAGCCACAGGAGAGAGGGCTGGCTCATGGGCCTGTTCCATGGTTCTGTTCACTTCCACCACTGATGGGCTCTGCAGCTCAGCATCTCTCTGAAAAGCAATTTTGAAGGGCTCTGTCCTGACCCTTGACTACCAGTCTCTTGATCTTGATCTGCAGCAGACAGCCCTGAAGGCCAGGACGGGGCACCAGAGGTCACAGCTCAGGAGCCAACTCCAGCTTCCCCAGGCCTGGCTGAGGAGAGGGGCTGACATCTGCTGGCCGTCAGGCACAGGAAATTCTCACTGTGTGCTCTCCTCAGTTCTCTGTGGGAGATCAATGCTTCAGGCACTGGCTAAGACACTACTTGACAAATCAGCCATGGTCCCATAGGAAGCCGTAGCTGGCACCACGACAGAAGTATGAGTCCTTAACACAAGGACCATAGGCCAAGGTTTCAGACCCTGAGGGGACTCCCCAGATTCAGAATTTGAGGATCATGGCAGGACTAGTCCCATCTACTAAGTCCAACCATGACAAATCCATAAGGTCTCTGTGTTGTAGTTTTCGCATTTTTATAGCTATGGGAGTAACCCAGATCAGACGTCTGAAGAACCTAAAGATTCAGCAACTATTCAATTCTAATTTCATTTTTTAAATGTACCTTAACTAAAAACTGTAATAAACACAATACCATTGTACCTGCAGTTACTAACTAAAACCCAAGGCTATTCAGCTCATTGACTTGGGTGGCTATGCTCCTGCTGTCATCTAGCACTGATGCGGGGCTGTGTGTGCACGTGTGAGCCCAAAGCATCACGCTACATCCCCATGCCTTTCTATTTGCTTCTATTTTGTGACAGGGTCTCGCTAAGGCATTAAGTCACCCATGCTGGGCTTCAACTTGCAATGCTCTAGCTCAGCACAGGTGTGCGCCAGTAGGCCTGGTGGAAGGAGCCATTTATGTTTGTGTCCTAGAGTGGGCTTACTCTCTTCGCAGAGCAGACAGGCAAGCTTACAAATAAGCCTGTATTACCAGAATGGTACTTATGTCAATGTTGGGGTACACACAGGACCTCCCACATACACCACCAGTGACCAAGGTGAATTTGTGTACGTGAAAAGCATCCAACTCAAACAGTCCTGGTGCCTGCTGCAGAGAACCCTCATCTCCATCCATTCTTGCCACGGTGGTACCGTTAATAATTCCTAATCACATGGGGTTCAGGAACTATTTCATCACATGTGCCTCCCCTAAATCTGCCTCTCTGGCAGAAAGCTCATTTTGCACTGCTTATTTTGAGAAGCTACAGACAAGAGAAGCTGTCCTCTTAAAGGAAACTTCCACGTTCAAGGAATCACCACCTTGGAAGGACATCTCTATCCGGGACGAGCAGGACATGTCTGTCACCACAGACTGCGGTCTCTGGCCAAGTCGCTGGAGGGGGCTAAGCGGATTGTGCCCTTGCAGTGGGTACCCGGCCCAGGGACCTGCACTATAACCTCATTCCTGCATCTTCAACTGGTTTTCAGAGAGTGCTGGTATTGAAGCCAAAGTCTAAGCCTCTGCTGTGAGACATGATTCATTTCTATCCCAGGAACACCAGCACTTCCTCCTGTGTTAATAAAGTTCTATATGTCTTCCTGTTTCTTTGATTTTGCAGTTCTGGGGATTAACTCAGGGCTTTCCTGTTGAGCTATATGGCAATTTTTTTTTCTTTTTCATTTTAAGACTGGTTCTCACTAAGTTCCCCAGAGTGCTGGGATTATGGGCATGTACTGTCACATCCAAAGTTATTTTCCTCCAGTTGTTATTTGTTTGATTTTTTTTTCTTTAACCAGAGTCCATCTTCAATTAGGAACTATGAACTTTGAAGAACTTACTGTTCTCCTCCTATGCTGCACAGTATCTGGGTCCATCTGAATGAACACAGTAACTGTGAGTCGTTCGCTGGATGAAGATCCTGGGTGTAGCACTGTCACCCAGGCTGAGGGCTTCTGTGTGACATCCCCCATTGCAGAACACCTCTGGCCCCTTCCCTGCAACTGACAGGGCGAAGAGTGGAACCAGAGGACAGACATGAGCACAAGTGTGTGCGGATATACACACACTAGCACACAGGTACTGCACACAGAGCAGCGGCAGCGTGCGTGGGGGGCCCACGGGGAGGAAGGGACACAGGACTGACTTCTCTCTAAGGAGACTAAAGCAGCCCATCCACTTGAGCAGTTGATTCTTTTATTTGATAAACAGGCCACATTCCCCATTAAAAACAAGGCTTTTAAGTCAGGATTTCTGCTCCAGCTGCTACTAAATTTTTGCGATAGCAGCACATCCCAAATGACAGTCCAGCACTAAATATAGGGTCTTCATGTTTAGAGAGGCGTCAGAGGCATGGAGCTGGAGCAGCTGACAAGGGGGTGAGAGCACCACCCCAGGCTCTGCGACTGGTGGCTTCCACCCCCTCCTCAGCCCTCAGCCTGACTTGGCCAGGTGTCTGGTGATTAAGTTCCTTTTGAGGGATTAAGAACCCATCAGCCCAGGCCCACTTTGAGATCACAGTCTACACAAAAATTCCTAACGAGGTGCTCATTTCTCAAAGATGCTGATAGACAACACAGGGTGGGGTTTGCCTCCTTCTACTTGGAGTATTTTTAGCCTCTTGCTACAAACCCTTGAGGCTGGATGCAGCTCAAGTTTCAGAAGCCATGAGGACTTCAGGACACCATATTCAAAAAGAAGGGAGATGGAAGGATAGCTACATGCTTAACCTAGCAAAACTTGCTCAGGAATTCCAACTATTCTGCTGGAAAGGGTGACCTCTGAGCTGACCCTAACTCTAATGCAGTTCTTTCCACTCTGCTCTGACAAAAAAGACA